TTTTGCAAGGGAAACAAGATCGATGCGGCATACCTGAATATTTATTCCCAAACTTTTAAGAACTCTACACAGCTGTAAGTCCAAACGGGTGACCGGTGCTTCTGCGAACGCCTCCTTAACCTTAAGGGTTACGCCAAAAGTTTGCCATTTGGAATCTAGTTAATATTCTCATAACGTTACGAACTAATTTGTTTGTCTCCTTTTTGAAGGCAAAGGTTTTTTTACTCGGTACAAGATACTCAAAGAATTAGGAAATAGCACTGCCATAAAAACGCTGCATATTTATGATGGATTTTTCTCTTCTGTGTTGAACCCATTTCAGCGACTTTATTCCAAGTGCCACGGAAATTCTGAGAAAAGGATTGACGTCAATCACTGAGGACCTATTTATATTTTAACACTTCAAAGCTGATGAAGTATGATGTCGCCGTAACGAATTTTTAAACTCTGATGTTTCGAGCCACTTCTAACGTTCCTCTAATTTTTTTTAATCTTTATAAAAACAATGAATAAAGAACCAATCTAAGTGAGAACAAATCATAACAAGAAAATCAACGAGGGCGGCATTTAATTTGTAAGACTAAGAGCTGGCGACGAGGCATGCCGCGAGCGATAGCGTTCGATTATGGACACCTTACTATTGATCTCCAGCTTATTTTAGGCCATTGTAACAAATCAAAGTAGCGGGAAAGGCTTAAAAACTTAATTTTGAACTGCTTTCACTCAGCCTCCTAATATTCAATGAGAATAACCTCGTCAAGAAAAGCCGCTATCTCTCTTGCACAACAACCACGGATAATACAAGGGACTGGCACTACCGCTCTCTTCCAGTAGCCATTTACAAACAATTTACAGTTCAGGACCAGGAGGCCGACACAGGTCGTGCAGAGGTGAGCCAGAGATATAAAAGGCGAACTTGGGCGAAATCTTATCTAAGGGTCAAGGGTCATTTAATTATTTTTTTTCTCCCTTCTTCGCTGTATGTGCGACTGATTCGTGTCGAGTTCCAACTTCACCATGGTTCAGTGGCAAATGCTTAAAGTCTTGAATCAACCAAAAGAAGGAGAGCTCAAACCACAAAACACTGTAAAAAACGAAACTGGACTTTGACCGGATAAAAATCTTGCATAGTCATTCGCTTAGAAGTGCTTAGATCTCAAACTTTTTTACCGTTGTATGAACCCGACTTTAAAACTGTTAGACTATGTGTTTCGTACGATATTTCATCCGAAAAGAGACGTTTTCCACTTCAACATGTTATTCCAGAGCTCCCTCGGGCTGAACAAACAGATCAATACCTTAATTGCTAAAGAGAGTTTACTGAGAGCATCCTTCTCAACCGTCAGTTTGCAGCAGTTTAAACAGCTAAAAAGCTTTGTATAAAACTTCCGGGACCAATGTGTTGGAAATATTTCTTGCCTAATAACTTTGAAATAAATTTAGTAATAGTTACGTAGAGGCAAGGGTACGGTGGCCCATAGAGGACATGCCAAATTTTTTTAACGCGCGATACATGATAAATTATCGCGCCATAAATGAAAAATTATCGCGCTATAAATGGGAAACTTGTGAGGTCGCACGTGTTTGGCTGTCACGCACGTTGTTTCCACGGACGGTAATGGCTGCCACAGTTGAGGAGGTATCACCGTAGGTATGTTTACAATAGTTCGTTTTATTTTCATGAAAAGATCATTTAGCAGTACTTTCTAATATACTTCTACGACACACACCTCTGTGAATCAGTACAGTAAACCTTGATTTTGCGAAATCTTACGAGACACTTTCAAAGATGGCTGTCAGTGTCTGAGAACAAGTGTGGATTATCTAATCTTTCTGATAACATTGCAGGTTTGAAATTAATAGACTAAGAAAGAACTTTCCAACTGTTGCAGCCATTGCCATCTCGTCCTCGGAAACAACGTGCGTGACAGCCGATCAAGTACTACCTAACAAGTTTCCCATTTATCGCGCGATAATTTTTCATTTAACGCGCGATAGTTTATCATTTATCGCGCGATAAATAAGATTTATCGTGCAACAAAAAAAAAAAAATGCAGCATGTTCTCTATGGGCGACCGTACAAGGGTCTTTCTTTGCAACGGTTTGATTGTAGGTTTCCCAAGGAGCCGAGTGTGGAAAATTGATTGCCCGGCGATCATAATCATTCTAGTGCAAAGTGAACTCGTGCGTGTACAGAAATGCGTGACCGCAATACGGTTAGCCAGAGGAAATTC